CTGTTGTTCAAATCATTCTCTAATTTTATTTTCAACCAAAGACACTCCAAACAAGCACTCAGCTGGCAGTTTTTTGGTGGGAGATAAGCATAATTTCTGTGCATAGTCTCTATTACTGAGGGATGCAAGAGCACACATTTTTTTTCCTCAAGATTCTGTGTAGGACTATGTTGAGGGAGAAAAAAAGAGAAAATTATCCTTTTGCAGTTTAAAGCTTATTCAACAGTTTGTGTCCCTTTGTTTGCTTTACGTGGTACACTATATTCCACGGCATGACTCCAGTTAGCATGGAATTAAAAATGCCTTTATTAAGCTTTGAATAGAGTGCATCACTCCAGCGCTAATGAAACACAGGCTCCCAGCACACAGAAAATGAGATTGTTAATTCAGAGGTAACCGGAGCTGGTTCCTGCCTTTGTGGGTTTGGCAATTCCAAAATCCCTGCACTCCGTCCCGACCCGTCTGCGCCTCGGCCAGCAAGTCTGGCAAACGCCAAGGCGGCAGCAGACCTGCACCATGGCTGGAGAAGGCTCAGAGAGCAACGGGCAGCAGCCAGGATCGTGAGGAGGATTTGTAAAACCACAGTTCCCTTGGGAATTCTGACCATGGGACTGCCTGTCCTCGCAGCTGGCCCAGCAAGGAAGGGGCCTGATCCCCCCACCCCGGGCACTTTCTGCTCCTGCTGCAGGTGGGCAGCACCAGGACCCCAACAACAGCCGCCTGCCGGCCCTTGGTCCTGCTTCTTCTACACAGGGACTACTATTAAATTCAGATGTCGTGACCTAAACCATCATCCTCATTTCTCATGGGGACAAACACAGGGGTGAAATGGCTGTCCTGGACCCAGCCCCAGGGACAGTCGTCCCCGGGGCGGTTTACCCCTCACATTCACTCAAACAAGTCAAGATGCAGAGCTGGCCCTTGGCATTTTAAGAATTTAGGTGGATCCACCTCACATGGAGCAGAAGAGGGACTTGTGTCCCGCAGGAGGTGACGCTGGTTTTGGGGGTGCAACCAACTACCCCTGCAGCATCGCAAAGGCTGGTCCTGCCTCTGTGCCCCAGGCCACCCCCACTGCACCCCACCAACCTGCTCGCCCCACACCCAGACCCGAAGGGCACAGAGCATCCTCACAGTCTCCATTAAACTCCTCTTGCTTCTGACAAACACCTTTTGAAACAAGCCAACAAGCCTGCTTCTCCCTGCCGGGGTTGACTATGCTGCCAGCTACCTTCTTCCATGATGAGCAGCTGGAAAAGCCCCACAGCCAAGGCACCCCGTGGCCAGGCATCTCTCCTCCCTGAGCGGGCAGTGCCCCACAGCAGCCCCCACTTCTCCCCAAGCTGTACATGCCACAGAGATGGGAAAGGATGGACCATGTTGGGGACAGCCCAGCCCCTGACGTGGGTACAGTGCGTCCAGCCTGGAGCACTGTGGGGAGAGGGAAAGGCTTGCTCTGTCCCACATGCCACCCAGTAAGAGCAGGATAAGGGAAGAGAACAGCTGTGGGCTGATGGCAAAGCCCCAAACTTCTCTGTCTCTCCCAGCAGAGATGAATTACGGCCACCATTTCTAAGCATCCTGCAGGTGCTGTCTGCCTCACGGAGGGAAAACACGGCGTGGATGTACGACAGATACCAGGTTCAAGGGTTTCAAGTGAGATTAGAAACCACCTTCTTTGTGGGTTTGATTGCTCAGCATTACAGGCCTGGATCCATTCAGGGGCCGAGCTTCCCTCAGAGCCAAATATTGCCAAATACTACACGTGCTTGAGATGCCAGTTTGCTCAGGATGCACAGGGGGTTCCTGCTCACTCCAGAGGGAATGGCCCAGGGTGTCCTGGAAGGCTGGGGCAGGCCTCAGGCTGTGGACCTCAGCCACCACTATAAAAAGTTTCCCCCTTTTTTCTTCCTTTTTTTTTTTTTTTTAATTTTTGGACATCACCTGGTGCCCTCTCCCTTGAGCAAGGGCTCTGTCTCAGTCCCCTCCGAGCAGAGGACACTCAGTTAGCACTGCACAGGGATGAGCAGAAAAAGCCTCAACACTAAGGAGGGAGCTGCCAGGGGAGGAGACTGCCTCCTCAGAGCCACCACACAGCATGCAGCACAAGGACAGCGGGCTGCAACAACCTACATGCACAGCAAAACAAAAGCAGGCACCTGGCACAGCTGGAGGAAGTTCCTTCACATCTCCAACACATCCTATGCCTCAATCTGAAGCCGTCTTACATCTTACATCACATTTACCAACTGAGGATAAAACCCAAGAGATGCTCCACTCTTCCCGGCACTCCTTGGAAGGAGAAACCACCAAAATAAATTAGAAGCATCCCCTCCCATCTCACAGCGATGTGAGTCTCTGCCAGAACTAAGACTCAACAACTGGCAATAGGATCTCAAGGGGTAGGTCCAGATCACAAGCTCTCCTGCTCGAGACCAAAACCACAACCAGCTGGTGCTGCCCTGCACCTACCCAGCTGCTGAACCAGGATGGGAAGCCAGGAGGTGACACTCAAGCCCAGAGAAGATGGAGGTGCTGACCACAGCCATCTGGTGCAGGAGAAATAAGAAGCTCCCCAGGACGGGCTGCAAAGCCAATACCGGGGGGCACAAGCAACAAGCTGTGGGATCTTTTCCATGCAGTGCTGTTTAAATCAGTGCACCCTGAAAGAGGCAGAGCAGACAGATGAGTGCACCAAAGGCAGTTCAAGCTCAGCACGTCACCCTGTGAACTGCACTGGGGTCCACCAGCATGCAGGCCCAAGCAGTGGGGGTGAAGGGGGCGAGCAGGTGAGCCTGGGCAGTCCAGAGCCCAGAGGCCATGCAGAGCAGCGACTTTCTGGCTCCAGAGCTCAGCCCGAGCTACCACATTTAGGGAAACTTCCCCTGAATGCAGACAAAACGACAGTATCACTTGATGCTTTTAAGCCCAACCTTGTCTGATCCTATTCAGAGCAGCTCTGGGTGGGAAAGCAGCAACAACGCCGGAGGTCCTGGACCCCGTCCCTCTGCTGCTGCTACCAGGGATGCAACTCTGGCAGTCACAGGGGCTTCCAAACAACAACCACCAGGGCTGGGATCAGCAGCGTTTCACCCGCCAGCCCTCTCCACCTTCCGAGGAAAGCAAAACCCAGCCTGTTTGGCAGCCAGCCCTTTCCTTCAGAAACGAGCTGTCCCGGCTGGAGAGCTGGGAGCAACCAACCTGGATTTTCTCCAAAGGAGCCTGGGCACAAAGCAACTGGCAGAAGCGTGAAGGGAAGAAATCTGCTCAGCAGCTACCGGCCAAGTGGCAACGACTCAATCCTTATCGGTGCATCTCCGGCATCCAGCGTGTCCAGGGAGGAACGCAGACAGCACCCCGAAAGCTGCACCTTTCCAAAGCACCTCTTTCCCAGGCAACTCAACAGGTATTACGATCAGACACTGTAATATCATCAGTTAAGGTTTACATGTCTTAAAAGAAAATACTAGTAACCTGATGGTACTTCTGCATCTGTGGGATCTGGTGGGATTTATTCCGGGTTTGGCTTTTCTGACAGGATGTGGAGTTTTATTACAAAGGCACAGGTATCAAATAAAACCAGCAACATTCTTTTAATTAAATATCCCAATAAAAAAAAATTAACGCTCAATTTAGGCTTTATGTATTCCTCCCTTATTAAGAGACTAGTTTGTTTGTTTTTTCCTCTCTGGAAAGGATTTAGTGCAGTGATTATATAGCAACAGAAAAATAAACTAAAAAAGGCACAAACTTGTTTGTGGTTTTTTTTTTTTTCTTTCAACTTTGCTAACACTTTATATTTGTCTATTTTACTTCGGTTAATAAATCACTGAATGCAGCAAGAAAATATTCTGCCAATTTCTGTACACTATACAAAAACCCCTACCAACAGTACATTATTTCAGCTTCAGGAGAAATGTACAGCATAGAAAGACTTTTAAAAATATAGTGCCCCATACAGAAACTTTGTTAATTAAACTGACGGTCTCTTGCTACAGTGCCCTTCACCATCCTCATTTTTCCCCCCCCTTATTGCTGGGACACTCACTGGGACTCTGCCCTCCCCATCTCCCCGTTCCCTCCCCCCCCGGCTCCGCACAGGCTGGACTGAGCCCCAGCCCAGCACTGGGCTCTACTGGGCTTGTGCCAAACGGCTCCTGCATCCCTGGCATCGGTGCCCGGTCCTCGGACCCCGCAGGGATGGGGTGATCTCCCGTTCAGCATCGCCAGCCACGTCTCGGTGCTGGGACAGCTTTGGGCTGGAGAGGAAAGGGCAGCTCTCGGTACCAGCGAGATGCAGGCAGCATCCCAGGCATGGGGCCATGCTGCCTGCCCCCCATCTGCCCCACGGCTCCGCTCCCCTCCTCTCCCCACGCCGCCCCCCTGCCCAGGCTCTCCCGCGGATGCTCCCGTTGTGTTTGCAGCGGGAGCGTGGCTCACGCACGCTCTACCCTTTCATCAAGCTCATCACGATAGGTGGTGGGTCCCCGTCCCCCCCCCACATAATACTTCATAAAATAGTAACTTTTGGTTTTTTTCCCCTCCCAGGAACTAAATTAAAGGGCTTTTCCCTTTAAGTGTATTAACAGAGCTGAACCCCTCCACCCACCCTAAATTAAGTGCAGCCAGAAATGGTTTTCTTTATACTTCTGATACCACGTTTTAAAAATTAAAACCTACCGATCTTCTTTTTCCCCAAGACGTTATTCATGCAAGGTTGCTATTTGTTTAAATAAGTTATAAAAGTTGATATCTTAGGCTAGAAGAAGCTGTAGTCTTGGTTATTCTTTAGTTGGCAGGCACTGTACATACATACCGGGTACAGACACATGCCGAATCTGCTTTGCATTGCTTTTTGCATTGTACAATTCACAAATCTGACATCATTAAAGCAGTTAATTACCTTTGATGGAAGGCTGCAGTGAGGCCATCTACATTTATCAAACAAGCAGCTGGTTAAGATAATAAGTACGCTTCCCCCCCCCCACCCCGGCGCTCCCCAAAAATGCTATTATCTGTCACACATTGCTTCTCTGAAGTGGTTAGATTTGGTGCGCACATTAATGTGCAAATGTGTTGCCATAGGAACTGCAGCCTCCATTATGCCTCAATGACACCATTCAGCAAAAGCCAAAACTAAAAATAATAATAACAACAACAACAAAAAAAAACACCCTTAAAAATGAAATAAAAACAAACAAACATAAAACCCCAAAAGGCAGCAAAGAGAAAGTCCAACGCACATGCGGAGCCTGGCCCAGGACTGCAGGTTACACGTGGCTACGGAACAGTGCGGGAGATGTTTAGGTTTGATCTTAACTTCACACTATGGTACAATGGGGCTCAGAGTTCAGCCGGTCTGAGTCTGTGCTGGCTTTAGGGAGGAGGGAGCTGGAGGGGAGTCGTGGTTACCGGATGCACCCGGGGTCTCTCAGACATTTGGCAGAATGAGGCACATCCAAAAAAAGTGCAACACCAGTGCCGTGGTGGCAGTGCGATGTGTTTAAGTGCGTGCACGCGCTTTCCTCTTCATGCATCGGAGCAAGCGGGTTGGGGAGGGGGGGGTTGGACCCCCCACCTTCTGGTTGGTTTTGTTTTTTCTTGAAAACTATTAACCAGTAAATAACAGTAAGACGAATGCATATTCTACTTACTGGTGCATGAAATACTGAAAACTGCATTCAAGTAATATTTCTGCACTATCATGAATGCGTCACTATGTTATCTTACATTTGGAAAAAGGAGGGGGGGCTATGTACACCAGAGCAGTGGGACCTATTTTGCAGTTAAAGTTCCTGTGCTTTACGGAGGTACCTGGGAAGGAGAGGCCGCCGGTTCGCTCCGTCCCGCTCCGCCGTGCCCCGCCGGGTGGCAGGACCCCCAGCACCACCACCTACAGCATGCGAGGAAGGAGCGCTGCTCGGCCGGACCATCCAGCTGCACGGAGCAAACCAAAAGATGACGTGAGGGAACAGAAAAACTCAACCCAAAATCGGCAAATCAACAGTGACGAGAAATAGAAGGGCAATTTATTATTTTTTGAAGGGGGAGGAGGAGGAGGAAGAAAAAAAAAAATATTTTTTTTTTTTTTCGTTTGGTTGGTTGGGTTTTTTTCTATTCTTCCCGCAGCTGCAGGCGGTAGCGGTGGTAGCGGACCTGGAAAAACATTCTCTCCAGTAAGGAGCGTGTCATCCCTGGCAGGGCATAATGTTCGATTTTTTTCTATTCTTCCCGCAGCTGCAGGCGGTAGCGGTGGTAGCGGACCTGGAAAAACATTCTCTCCAGTAAGGAGCGTGTCATCCCTGGCAGGGCATAATGTTCGACAACACCCACGTGCTTGAAGCCCAAGGACTCGTAGAGCTTGTGGGCCGCCATCTTCACGGCCGTGGTTCCCAGCACGACGGAGGAGTAGTTGTTGAGCATGGCGAACTCCAGCACCTTGCGGCCCAGGGCCTTGGCGATCCCTTTCCCGCGGTAGTTGGAGTCGACGGACATGCGGAGCAGCTCCACCGTGTTGTCCTCCTCGTTGCCCCGCGCCGCCACGATGCCCACCACGTTGCCGTCCAGGACGGCGACCCAGAAGCAGGAGCCTGTAGGAGATAAAGCAGCACATGTAGCTGCCAGCACCTGGGACAGGAAAAACCATCAAGGCACCCGCTTGTGAACACACTGATGGGGCTGGGCTAGGAGTCAGAAATCACCTGTCACACCTGGGGACTAACAACCCTCATAAATGAGGACCAAACTTGCTTTTTCCTTGACACCATGAAGGGAAACAAGTGCCTGCCGTGGGCCAGATACTCAGCCATGGCCCCAACCTCTTGCTGGGACTGATAAGGACATTGCTTTTTGGGTGCAATGCAAGAACAGCCCTGATGGCTCAGGGCTCCCAGAGAAGAGGGCAATGCCACCCAGCCGTTGGCATCTCGGCACTGGTGTGGCTGTTTCCCCTCCTTGAATCTCAGCACCTTCCCCCCACTGCAAACAGCACATGGAAAACATTCTGGAAGAGAGATGCTGTAGGAAAGGCGATCCACTGCAGAGAAACTGCTGCAAGCCCCCAGAGAAGAGGAAGACTGTCCTCCTTCCCCCAAGGATGTCTTGCCCTCACCCAAAGCTCATTCACAGCCGCAATCACAGCCTTGCCAGATGAACAGGGCTGGCTGCTGCACCCTGTGAGGAACTGGAGAGCTTCGACCACTGCTCCGTGCACGCAGGGACAGCACGGGGACCTGGACTGCCTGCAGCATCCTCCTGCCAGCCCCTTCTCTAACCCATGAACCCTGGCTTGTTTCTGACCTCCCTCCATGCACATCTGAAGATGTGAGTGCATCCTCCTCCTGTGGCCTTCAGGGGCTCAGGGCAGCACCTGCCTAAGACAGTTTCAAATAAAAAAAAATCCAAGCACCCCGGGGTCCCAAGTGCTCCAACTGCAGCCCCAGTTACAAAACTCAATAAAACTAGACCTTGGTGGAGAGAGGCACCAGAATCATCCCATCCCACTGCTCATAACAGCCAACAAACATTCAAGTCGATGCAGCAGTTTCTACAGTACAGTACAGCAGTTTATAATTGCTGTAACTCTGGAGTATTACAGCAGCACTTGGCCACACCAGCAAGTGGACTTAAAAAAACCCACATCAAACCCAAATAAAATTCAAGTAAAAATTATGCAAGTCTTAACTAAAGATCTTCACAGGAAATCCTGGTGAAGAAAAAGTGTCTTGAATTGAACCGAAAAGACCAATGTTGTCAGCACAGGGCAACTCTGACCTGAACTTGGATATTGCTTAATTAACACCCAGGAAAGCCACTATTCAATTACGGCAGCTAACGAGAGGCACTGATGGGCCTCTTGCCAAGAGGGACTCAGCCCTCAGGAGGAACGTGGCTTCACCCAGAGCAAAGGATCCCACCACAGGAGACACCTGTGGGGCTCTGCGACCTGCTGCAGACTGTGGCCTTCTCCTTCCTCAGTGCTAAGCAGAAGGAAACCAGACTTGGGCAGCAGCTCCATCTTTAGCATCAACCTTGCCAACTGCCCCGACCCAAAAGCATGGCACATCTCCCATCTCCGTAAGGACCAACATTCAACAGCCCGGGTGGGTGCCCAGCGGTGCATGGCGCCGCTCCCTCTGCAAAACGGGAGGGACAACGATGACAATTCAGAGAGTCCTTCATTACCGGAGGAGAGCAAAGCCCAGGGTGGCAGGAGGTGCCTCCCTGGCTGCTGCCAGCAGAACAAACGCACCTTGTGGCTCAGCAGAGCCACTGGAAAGAGATGGCTGAGGTCCTCTGCGCTTCCCCCCAGCACACCCGGCTCGTCCCCCCCTTCCGAGCGACACGCAGCTCCAGCGACACTCACTTTCATTCCCCCTGCCAGCAAGTCATTACGCTGTCGCTATCTAGGTCAACAGCTAATTTTTAAAACACCGGGACCCATCTTGACCCATTTATTGTGAGCAGTTAAGACATCTCTCCTCCGCTGCCGCGTTGACAGCGTGGCTTGTTCCCCTGCACCCGCCCAGATCTCAAACCAGCATTTATTCAGACACGACCCCAGACGAAGACCTACAAGTGCTGAAACCCAGCAGCAGCTCTCTGTCCGAATACAAATTGCAGGGCTGCAAGATCTCACTGCTCTCTGCTCTGCAGCCTTGCTTCTGAAGTGCTCCTCGCTTGGTGGCTCTGCCCAGTGTCCCCCCCCAGCCCATCCATCACACCTCTGGCCACATGGCAAGCACAAAGTGAAATCGGGGCCACGGTGATCCTCACTCCAAACGCACAGCCACCAACGTCACCTCCCAGGGCACTGCCCAAAAAGGGGGTTCACAAGTCCCCCTGTGTTCAGGGAGCAGAGGTGGGGTGCTCCCCCAGGGACACACAGTGTTGTTCCCAGCACCCACCTCACCCTTCGGCATCCCCAAAAAGTGCCACAAAACAGCTGGTTTTGTGCCTTGGCAGTGCCTGCCAAGCTGCAGCTGGTGGCACAGCCAGCATGTCCCCACCATCCAGCTGTGTGTGTGGCAACTCCTCTTGGAGCTATCAATCAGAGACATCAATCTTCATTTCTCTCAGCCCCAGGTTATGCAATTGATTCCCCAATTGCTTCCCGATTTTATTCATGATTTTCTCTCCTTAGCAAGAACCTCTCCCCTGCGCCTGCCGAGCCCAAGAGGCTGCTAAAGCTCACTCAGCAACACTTCCCACATTTGTAAAACAGCACGTTTCTAGTATTTTTGGGTCTTCTGTCTATTTAAAACCCAAATCTGGACATGCTCGCCACACTAGAGCCCACAAGGACCTTCACAACCCCAAGCCCCCTCTGACTGCCCTCCAGTATGGAGGCCGTACCCTCACACCCACCCATCCCACCCTGGTTGCAAGCTGCATGGCAGCAAACCTGCACTCCATGTTATTTTTTACTTACAACTTTAAAGCTTAATTATAACGATCTTGAGTTCAACGTGAAAAGAAATAGTATCTGGCACATCTCCCAGTGTGTGTTGTGCATGCAACGCTTATAATTAGCAGCAGACAGGACACATCTGCTCAAACAATGCGAGTTGTATTCGGCTCTCATTTACACCAGCACCATCAATCTCTAAGACTGCTGCCCACCCCGTGTCTGAGTCTGCTCTGAAGATCACCAGTGGCCAGATCCTTCAGCCTGCTAACTCAGATTTCCAAAGGTGGCTATAAGCCCAGGAGTAGCTTTCACCCATGGGGTTGTCAAATCCCTCTCTCCAGGGAGCTGCATCTCATTCAGATAGGAATTTGCTACTGAAAGTTGTTTTGGGGGTCCACCATGTGCTGCTGACCTTGGGCTGAGACCTCCTCTCCTCTGGGCAAATCCTCTGGTTTCATAGCAGAAGCCCTGCAAGTCTTTGGTTTGCTTTTTACCTAAACACAACATATTTTCAGCAGTCCAAGTCAGCTGCAGCTCCTCACCACATCTATCCATCCTCTCTTCCAGCGGAACTGAACTCTGGAGCAGGATGGAAGCACCCTGAGCAAAGCATCCCCCTGGGGTGTGTGTGTGGGGGTCTCTTTCCATCTTTTCTGGACCAAAGGGATTGACTCAGAGCCTGTCTTGGTTTTGCACTTTTTCACACCTAGGATGAAATAAAATTAACTTCATCTCACCTGCCAGTAATGAGCAACAGCCTCGTTGTTCACAGGGCTATTAATAGCAGGAGCTGACGTTTTACTCTCTCACACCACTATCTGAAAATAATCACTGCTGCAAAGATAAACACACACCCTGACGGCTACAATTCCTCCTGCCCTTCAGATACTCATCTCATGGCAGCGTCTCCATCTCTGCCTTCACTGTCATCTGCCTCCATTTTCTGGGGTCCCCTTGTCACTCATCACTACAGAACCCACAGCCCTTCCAGCTCACCCTGCCCTAAGCTCCTCTTTTTTTTTTTTTTTTTGATCCTGCAAGTAGAGTCACTCCAAGGTCTGCTCTTCATGGATGTCTTGCATCTCCAGCCGCCCTGTGAATACCACTCTGGAGTACTGGAGGTGCCTACTGGAGACATTAGCTGTTTCCAGCCAAACCCCAAGCCTCCTCCCAAACCCTCTTGGCAGCACTGCCCCTTGCCTCCACATCCAACCCTGCCTCTCTAGGTTGCCAACAGGCAAAGGTGAGGAGAAGCAGCCATGGAAAGCCCACCACCACCTTGCTCAGCTCTCTCCATGCCCCCAGCCCACTACGTCACCACATGAAGCCTCAACCTCAGGAACGCGCAGGCAAAAGCCTTAATAAAGGAGGAAATTTTTTTTATGATGGCAGGGGATTGAGACACTGGAATAGGTTGCTCAGAGAAGCTGTGAGTGCCTTGTCTTTGGAAGTGTTCAAGGTCAGGCTGGACAGGGCTTTGAGCAACCTCATCTATTGGAAGATGTTCCTGCCCATGGCAGGGGCGTTGCACTAGATGATCTTTAAAAGTCTCTTCCAACCCAAACCATTCTATGTGAACAAAAACTTGAGATGCAACATGTCTATGAAAAAGGCACAAAAGAGCTGTGACATGCATAACAAGGAAGATGATTTTGGGTTGTTCACGCTTCACAGATTCGGTGAAGTTACCCTGGTTCCTCCAGCACCTCAACATCAGTCAGCCTGGGAGCCCAGGCCAGCAGTGGACAGGTTTCAAGACAAGAAAGGTGAGCTCCAGAGGGTAACACCTTTCGCTGGAAATACCCACCCAAGGTACCTCCATGCCTTAACATGCCATGAGGATTCCACTGTATTTAAGTGCATGAAAGACAGGACAAAACTCAAGAGGATGTGCACTTACTGGTGCAATTGTACAGGAGGCAGGTTGCTTTGCTTGCCAATGGGAGCATCTATGAGAGGTGTCACAGTGGGATAAACAAGACCTGCAAGAGGCGTTGCAAGACAAAGCAAAGACAGGGCTCCTGTATCTCTTACCTCCTTGAAATTAAATACCTGGCATAGCAAGATGCAAGTGGTTCTATTTTACCTTTCTCTCCTCGTCCACAGGTTGTCTGTGTCTCAGTGACAACATCTTTCCATACTCTGGGCAACAAACTAGACCAACTTACCAGTGAGTAACTC